TTCTACGTAGTAGGAAAGGTAGTCATCGACTTATAACCATTTGTTTAGTGATTGTTTAAAGTTACAACAGCATTGGAAAAAAGGGACTTATGACCAGTTTTCACACTTACGGCCATTGTAGCATCCTTTTGATCACATATTCACAATTTGTAAATTTGGCAACTAGCTCAAATTTATGGCAGTTGCAGTGTCAATTAATCAACTTTTCTGGCCTTCTGACAAGCAAAGTCAATAGGGAAGCCAGATTCATTTTATAATCATGTTACTAACTTAACACCTGCAGGTATTCACTTAACTATGGCAAGAATGGTTATAAAATGGAGCAATACTCACCTAACAACTATCTCACTTAGCAACATAAATTATAGGGTCAACTATGATCATAAGCCAAGGACTACCTGTACAAAGTATACAAATTTAACATGTTCAGATTATCAAAACATGAATATTTCAATAGGTACTCATGTATATATCATATACATTATTTAACTAGCTAAAAAGAAATTCAATACATTAGATACAACTAGCATTGAAATATTCAAATCAAAACTGTCAGATTGGATTACACTGTATATCAGGGAGTAGAATTACTTGTCCAAATGTTTCCAAGTACCTTTGCAAAATATTTCAAATTGATATACATAGTACCTCCTATCACGTACATTTTTTAGAAAGATATTACCTAGATATAGGACTTTTATTAACTGGAGACACAAACAGCCGTTAGATCAATTTATTCTAATCTGACATCCTGCAAATGTAGTCGTATTGTAGTTTCCAGAATGTGAAGGCTGAAAATCTGGTAGCCATTAGATTCAAGAAGGCAGAGAAACACCTATTTGCTTCTAAAAAGTCATCTAAGTCATTTGAGTAGTTAAGTTACTCAACCTTCCACTGATGTACTTGCATTTGTCCAAAACTTAAGTGCCTAGAGTCAAATCTCTCAATCTGTAGCACTGAGCTGTTACATGTTCACAGAAATTTGCACCTACTTATTCTGTCTAAACGCCTCTATCCCAACATTTTGCATCCAGGTCTATAATTTTTAGTTTTTAGAACAAGAATAGCTCACCCGACACAAGACAAAACAGACAATTCAATCAGCTTGCTTATACGCACAAATATCCAATGTGGTTATGGTGATCATGGAGGCATTATGTTGAATGTAGTATGTAGGCCAGATTAAATTATATGTTGCACTAGTATACTTGCTTTCCTTATTTCCATTTCTGACATGATTTTTTTTTTTTTTGTTCTCTGATCTTTGTTAAGCTTTTCGAACTATATTGGCTTCTGTGCATTATTAGAATTGTTTAAATTGTGCTTTCCGTATTTCCATTTTAAAAACTTCCATCCATCTTCATTTTTTCGGTTAAGCTTCTCCTGCCACAGAATTTTAATTTGTGGTTTCTGAGTTTATCAAATGTTCTAGTAAGCAGTTAGCTAAGCTCAGTTCCCTTAGAATCAGAAAACAAACATTGCATAACACGAACATTTCTATTATTTCTACTTCCTCAGCTAAGTCCTTTCCATTGATTAGCACTTGGATAAGATGGTCAATTATCTTGTGCCATATTCAATCTTCTGAAGAAACTTGTTCAGAAGACTTCTAGAGAAAATTTTGTTTTCGTTTCTCCACTTATTTAGAGTTCTCCACTGCCAAAAATTTGAATTTCTCACCAAGAGTGGATATTTTAATATACTATGAAAACTCTTTTTCTATTGCTTCTATTCCTTTTGAACAAACTGGAGTATAGAAACTGAAGGATACAATACTTAGCCTCACAAATCTTTTATACATTTGAGCTCCTTCATTAATTTACATTATATTTCCCCTTTTTGGTTGTCTTCAATAGACAACAATGGTTGAGAATTCTTGAGGTTCTATCTTACTTCGTCAAACACTGTAGTGGTATAAGTGTAGCTGTTATTTTACAGCGTAGCAATTTGTTCATTAGCAAGAATAGCTAATTGTCAGTGGCTTAATCAATCTTGCAAATTGTCACTTCCTTTATCCTGAAATACAGCTTATTTTACATGGTACAGAGGTGGGTTCCTACCAGTTCGCACCTATTCGGTAGAACCGGTTCATCAAATCTACCGAACAGGTTAGAAGAGGTTCCACCAGTGGACCCGGAAAGCAGGCCACACCTACAGAAGAGGTTCCAAAA